ACAATGGAACTCAAGTGGTGCAAAAACTCACGACAATTCGCGTAAACGGTTAGATGATTTTTATTATTTATCCACACAAAAATCTGGACAGTTATGATACGGTTCTGGTTGGCGCAATTGACTACTTTTGACGGGCGTTTAATGAGAAAATTGCGAAATTTCCCATCTGAGGAACTCCGGGGGAGAATGGATCTGATACGTTCCGACGCAGCCGGCCTATTTTCTCATCCGTTCGCGAACATTTAGCGGAATGTATGACGAGTTTTCGCTGATGTAGGCGGACAGATGGAAATGGAATAGCCGTTTTTGGAGTATTAGATTCTAGCTAACATACGGTCGCGGTTAAACGGTTGCGGGATCGGCGAAAGGGGCTGGTTATATTGGAAAATGTCGCGGGATATTCGATTTCGAACGTAACCGTAACCGTTTCTAGCGTTTCAAACCAAACAGGAATATTTTATACGAACCGCTTCGGAAGGAATGGAAGATCTAATAACTATACAGCTGAAAGCGACACTCATTCACTGATTCATTGGCGTGTTTTTTTTTTACGGCTTTATTCGCGGCGTAAAAAAACGGAAAAAAATCCTATCCTACGTAAATCGACGAGTCTAATCGATATAGAGCAAACTTAAAATAATTTATAACAACTTAGTCGGTTAGGCTTAGCAATAATAAACTCATAAACGTACTATAAAATCGGTATTAAAACTACCAAACAATATCAACAATTTCCCAAACCCTGAGTGTATAATTCCGAGCAAAAACAGGTCCATTAAATTGGTAAATACCAATTAAAAATTTCGATTATATCCCATTCACTTACGTGGGAAACGTAATTTTCGGCCTCAAAGACGAAAACAAAGAGACGAGAAAAGTCACATTAAAATTTTAACGCGCCTGAACGTGATCGATAAAGGGCATAAGGACGAAGGTCCGACGAACGGACTGGAAAGAAAGGGGTGTTCCACCTCGAGGAACGCCGGAAAGGACAGCTCTATGATATTTCATACTGTCATCCTGTTGTTCCGATTGAACGATAGAACCGAAGCGAGCGCGGGGTTTTATGCGAATCGGGCCGCCGTCGATTTATAGAAAAGTTATTAAAATGTTTTATGCCCCGAGCAGGAAATTGAAATGCGGTATCAATAAAAATTTTGCACGCCTTTGAATGCCACAAGAATGAATAAAGGGATTGATCGAAGTAACTCGAAAGTTACGTGATATGTGACACTAAAGAAGTTTTGCTTTTTGCTCGTAAATATTCTCTATTGCGGATTAAAAGTTTATCAGTTACTGATACCATTTTTTTTTCATTTAACTGTTTTTCTGCTACCCTTAACGGCGTCTCAAATTGTTCCAGTAAGTTCAATCAATAATAAGTGATGTTTGTCTTTTGAAGGAAAAACAAATCAACCGAACAAAATCACTATTCAAGCAGGTAAATTAATAGCAAATCGAATCTTTATAAATCAACATTATTAAATATCCATGTAATAATATAAAATGTAATATACTAGTCATTTCATGATAACTTTTTAATAGTAAACGTCCTTGCTAATATCGATTAAAACTTGATGTGTACAAACGGTCAAATTATAGGGGTACGTAAAAATTCATAAGTCAAATTTCATTACAAGAAGCAATTGGACACAAGGTTTTACCTACATTAATAAAATAGGGTGAATAATATTTTAGTTAGATTGTAATTAGGGGTTTTAAAACATTTATCTACTTTACGAAAAAATAGTGTACCTACTCTAAAATGATATAAATTATAGACTTTAAATAAAATACTAATGAGTGTTTGGGCAAAATTTGAGTGTCAAATATCCTCTTATCGGTTTCATTAGAATCAAACGAAAAATCAATCTCCATGGCGTTAATTTACTTTAGCTTTATTACCATTGCAAATTTATTCGTATTTAGATAATGGGCTTATCATTCCAATTTTAGGAATGACCCTCGTGTCTCGTATCTAGATACGCAGAGATAAAGGTTCGCCGTAGTTTCATATGGTTTTGTAATAGACTTCACGCGTGTTGTGTCTATTTTAATCGGCCATTTAGACGTAAATAAGACGTATCATGGATACCAAAAAGATATACGCATTTAGCTAATCCAAGGAACGTATTTTATATTCGCTATGCAATTTATTATTAGTAGGTTTTTTTGAAACTTCCACCGGGACTGACAACTAATAAAACGCAAGGAAGCGTTGCATCATCCAACCAAAAATAAGACGGCTTTACATGAGTTCATATTTTATAAATAATTTTATGCCCATTTAGTCGAGCACCGATGCTAATCTAAATGCATAACAACGCGTACGATTTGGATGGGAATAACCTCCAGTATTATCCTTTTGCCCCAAATACAAAGATATTCTAAATCCTTTAAAATCAGGTCAGATTCGAGAGAGCTTAACGCAATTTACTCGAAGAGTGTTCGAATCGAAGCCAACATAATAATTAAGGGTTATTGAAAACGGAACTATTTACGATTCTGCCGTTGTTTCCATTGACACTTTATGGGATTACTCTAAGGGAACGCCAAATTTCACTCAAAAATTGTGCCAAAGTCTCTTAATTTAAATCATCGTTGCAAAAAGGCAAAGAGTTTGGAAACCTACAAATAACAGCAGGTCCATTTACGTATTCTTGCGAGAACTATAGACAAATCGATGCCAAACAAAAACATCCCAATTTGTCTGAATTTCATAAACGAAGTCGCCCGTGTATAGTTGAAAAACATGTCACACAAAGGGAAGTCGGTAAAAACGCCTTGCAAACAAATTGCTTTTTGTTGTGCTCCCTCGGAATCATGCTGTTACTCGGAGCATTTTTCCCGTCCCGTCCCAATTTGGAAGTTGGCCGATTATAACGAATATCGAATAAAAAAGAAACCGCCAAGAACCGCAGCCTATTAGAAAATTTCTGTAAGAATCTGCCGTTGAGGTTTCGTGTGAAATTCTTGGGGGAAAGCGTTCGCTGGAATAAATTAATCACGTGGAAAGCTAAGCGCAATAAATGTCACGTGAATTGAAATATTGAAATGGTACTAAAAAGGGGAAACAATGCAATAAATAATAATAAAACTTATGGAAGAGACGGTGAATAAGATACGGGATTAATTGATAAATTTCTTTCTAGTCAGTGATATTAATTTACTAATAAGAATTTACCTGATTCTCCGAACCAGAATAATCATCCAAAAGCTTTATTCGTTCTTTATTATCCATCTCTAAGTTGTTTTTTCCTCATTTTTCACATCCCCGTTACACAACATCTTCGAAGCAGCGAGTAGGTAAAATTACGGTATAATTATTGTCTACTAGGTGTATTTTCCAGTTGAAATACTCATAGACTTCGTCACCGATCAACCACACACATTTCCATTCACAGATAAAAATTCAGAAGAAACGGATTGATACCAGCACGCACCGTTCGAACGGTCATAAAAACTGGCCGATATACACCGCAAAACAAAGAAATTTTCCGGGAAAACGGTCGAAACCGTCGGATCCGACCCGTCTGCACCGCTATGCGAATTGTCAAATAGTTTTTCATTCAGAGTACGCGAAAAATCCGCCGATTAGTCTTATCGCATTCGGGATATCACGGCTGATAGACTTCCACGGACCGCGTTTGTGGTTGACGGAATTGTGAATTGCATAAATGTACAGGTTTTCCTCGGAAAACCCGCCGGAAAATTACGAACGCTTTTCGATCCAGAGCAACACATAGCAACGAAGGGTGCCGCCCTCCTACAGAACTCTCGCGCGGCGTTGCCGCATCGACGAAGTCCAGGAGGAAAACCGGAGTTTATTTATCTGGATTGTTTGCAAATACTTATCTACTCGTATTACGTTTGCCTTACAAATCTTTCCATGAAGTGAAGGGGAAAGAAACGAAGTATTACAAGAAGTTTGGTGTGGAAAAAGTATCATTATTCACTAGTATTCCTTTGCTATTTTGTAAATTACTTTTGTTCCTCCGATCCGGCAACGTTGAGGCGATATTTTTACAATTATATTGATAAAATATGTATAACCGCTAACACAAATGAATCCTATAAAAATTCTTTATTTACAACTTCAGCGCATTCAGGAACCTCAGAATTGCAGGTTTGGGGATTTCATCTTATCGATGGGATATCCTGCAAGGTCTATTTTAGAATTTAGTAAATTATTGTAGATACTAGAAAAGCAGTGGTGTTTAGAAATTTGCAAAAGGTACAAACATTTTATTCTTCAAATTGATCCAATCCCGAATATCTTCAAAAGTTATTAAAGAAACCTCCTTTTACCTCATCATGTCTTTGTTCGCACAACTACCAATGTTAATGCATTAGAAGAAATTAGAACATAACAATAGAAGTAAAGATGTGATTTAGTAAATGATAAATTTAAGTAAAGCGAATCTATAGCAATTTAATTAAATGCTGGCAGAATTCTTTAAGGTCAAATATTTCTCTGATATCTAGCCCAACACGATACGCAACTGTATGGAGTTCTTTACGAATTAATGAGTATACGATCCAGTCGTAACATGCCAAGCCAGAACTATTGTATTGTCAAATCAATAAAACAGAACGCTCAAGAATATCATAAAATATCATTTGAAATTAATTGACAACCGCCAAGCGAAGAAAATGAATAAGATATAATCGTATTAAAGGTTGAAACGGAAACAATTTTTATTTCTACATGCATAAGTAGTACTTGATTTATAAGAAAATATCTTGCGAATTGTTCATAAAATTTTATAGCGCCCTCCTATTGGCTATCACTTCACAAAGGAATTATTCAAATTGATTTTATTTGTTTTTGTCAATTGATTTGTATAATGAAGCCAGTTTCGATTATCAATTGAGATATAAAAATTCAAGAAAATAGTTATAGATAAAGAAATTTGCAAATTATATCCAAGTTTTCATATGATAAATAGGTAAAAATTAAAACAAGTATCTGCTAGTTATGTATATGTATAATGTATATTATTAGGTATATTTATAAAATGTTAGTAAAATCTAAATTTCCTATGAAATATCGCCCACAAGTACTGTCATTCTGATCATCAATAATTCTTGTTCGTACTTAGATAATTTCGGGGGCTTTCGTAGGAAGCCTTTGTCGCGCATTTCTGCAAGATAACAATTAAAGTCTTTAAAAGACGATTTTCTCAATTTTTTCTCGACAAATTGCTCTTGATTACCTTCACTCGTACTTAACCATTCGCTCAACAGTTCTGAAAACTTTAATAATCATTTAAGTTTTTGCAAACTTGACCAAAATAACGTTACGTTAATGAAGAAAGTGTTTATCGACATATTTATAAAAATACACAATCTTATCGATCAACTGCACTTCACAGGATTTCTCAAAAGATTTAACATAAGTGGCTATTTGTGGGTTTACAGAAAGCTTTTATAAGAGACAAGCTCAAGCCATTTCCTTTTTATTAGATTACTCGTGCTTGAAAATTTACAATGTAACCTATCGGTTATAATAACATTATTATGATGCCTATAAGAATAAAAGTGAATTTGTGCAAATTAGAATCTATAAAGAACAAAGTTTCCGGTAATTATTTGACTTATTCGCGTATGTACCTGAGTCGGTTTTGAATCAGAAGCAGGAGTAATAAAAGTATTTGTTTCAAACCTTCGACTTATCAATTTTCGTTTGACGTCTTTCGCAAATCTTTTCCATCGAAGTATTTGGCATTAGAGAGTCGATAATTTTGGGATCTAAAATGACATCAGAATAAACACCGAAATCTGGAATATCATCTTCTTCTTCGGCGTCTTTACATCTAAAATCTATAAATTATCAAGAGGGAATTTAACGTGAAAATGAATCTTTTACAGTGAGGCTTCCCTCTTCGCGATGCTGCTGTGTTTCCACTTGTTAAAAATAGCCATAGATACGGGTTTGCCTTTTTTGCTTATCGGGCCACCTTTCCTCTCCAATATTTTTTTAATATCTTTGAAATTATCATCGATGTATTTGCATAGAAACGGTCGCACTTCGAACGGCCTTTCCAAGACCACTGCATGCAACAACAATTTGATAAAAGTTTTTATTTCAGGATGCTCCTGCAAATATCTAAATATCTTTTACTCGCTTTGCTAATGTTATACGTAAGGATCTTACTTGTAATTTTCGCGGAGATGAGCGAATTTGCACTCGATTGTACTCTTTTCTTGTTGCTCGCTCAGTGAACATGGACCAGCGAAACTATGTACCGCTAATGATGACTTTATTGTGGTCATTCCCGTTTTATTCTAATGTTTATTTGTAAATTACCTATGCAATCAGGTATTTCCGAGTAAAATATTGGTTAATATGACTTATGAATATATTAAGTCATGACATATCGTGAATAACTTGACAGTATAGATTCGAAAAATTGGTCATGGAAGTGTCGAACATAGTCAACTTAAATAAATTTGCTTTTGTGGTGCTTGTTGAAAATTGTGTGTTGTATTATATTTGGTATAGGATTATCCGAAACTTCCACTCGCTGACCCCGAAAAAATCCACACGCTATTCTCCCCCAAATAGTAATCGTTCAAGTAAAAAAACTTAACAAATAGCCGATGTGTAACACAAAGCCTTCACTTGACGTGCAACGGATTAGCTCTATTTGGGTCAGAAATATTTCGTTAGTTTGGCGTGTCGAGCAATCGTTAAACATGACGGTGTACTAGACCGATTAGATGCGAGTGTCCTTTTTACCTTCAATCGATAATAGAATAAACCATAAAGAACCCTTCTCGGATGTTGTGCTCTTCTTCCAACGTTTGGTTAACTCTTAAGAGAATGCTATCAAATGGAATATTTGAGAAAACTCAATTAATTTACGAAAATTTATTATGTATTCGACAACTCATCTCGTGCGTCTTTTTATTCATTAAATCGGAAGGTTTCTCTAAATTTTTATGTTATAAAAATTTGATGGAGTAAAAATTGGGAAAGAATGATCCTCTTAAGGTTTTGGGTAATATTGCGGGCCCATAAAAAATCACCTACCAGGGCGAGCAGGATGCGATAGCACGTCGTTTTGCCAGATAAAAGTAATAAGGAAACCGAAAAAAATCCGGGACACGCCACATTATTTAATCTTAGCGCTGATTTGGTATATCTTATAAACGAATGACCCATTTCGGATGGTATAAACTGGTCTTTCAGTCAATCAGATAGCAGAATGAATGTTAAAATATATTCTTGTTTTCTTCTTTAAAGATTCACTCTTTTCATCCATCTAATATACTAATCTCAGTTTCTTTGCCTCGGCCTAATAACGTTCTAATTTTTCAGGATTTTTTTTTCAAAAAATTGGAGGATTTTGCTTGCTTGCTGAAATTAGAGGAAATGTAAACGGATTTACTGAATATTCTCGGAGGATTCCACGGCAAAACAGTAAGTATTTTTATTTTAAAAGTCAAATTATTTGGGAATGTCTATTAAAAGAAACGAAAACAACGTAGATGACGTCAAAAAAGAAATAAGAAAAAATAAAATATGATGCAGGAAGACACAATTTTTCAAAATATCTAAATAAATTATTAGAAGTTTTGAGAGAAAGCAAAGTTTTGCCTAATAAAGAGTGAAGTAGTAAGTACTTCAAAGCTTCTCAAAGCTTCTTAAAATAACAAGAAAGTCACAAGCACGTGGATTTGCGATACATTTATAATTCTTTTGAACAACTAGGCTACTTTTAACTTTATTATTCATCAAAGATAAAAAAATGTCGTCGTGTTGTATTGTTGTTGAACTTCCAACATGTTGTTTTGAAAGAAGCTAAACGGCTCCTCTTCAAGTTATTTTTATTTGTTCTATGCAATATATTTTGAACAGAACTAGCCGAACTACTACAAGTTATTTTTAAACTTCATTGAGAAAAGTGTCATCTGCAACTCGAAGGGGGCTAATTAATTGGTATCCTCACCAAACACCTAAAGTAAATTATTGGGTATTTTAAAGTAAAACTTTAAATATTTGTAAAAGTTTTAACACAAATTACATTACAAATGCAAAGGAGAAAAATCCAAGGAAAAAAGTAGGTATGCATCATAATATTTGATGATATGCATCATAATAAATAGATAAATTTTTGATCAATAATTTAAAGTATCTAGCTCTTATCTTGTAATAATTATTAGTAATTTCTTCTTTGCAATAATCGCCAGTTTTTTACATTATCGGTCTTTTATGATATTTTAATTTAAGGGCCTCTTATGCAGATAAGTTAACAGTAACAATTCACTGTACTTGATACTAGTTTATAGATTATATTTTAATGGTATTTATCTAGTAACAATTAAGAGAAAATTATGAAAAACTGGATAAATTCAATTAATATAAGAAGGCGGTAACAAAGCAATAATATTCAAAAGCAACGACAAACTTAAGTGTACCTGTTGATATGAAGTAGATATTAAAATTGTAATCCAAAATCCTTTGGGAAAACATAATCCGCTAAAATATCACAGCACATGTAAGAACACAACAACTTGACACACAAAACTTTATAAATAATCCTCGATGCGAGTTTATTCGCTATCGCCGTTCGTCGTGAACGAAATAACACTGGAATAACCGAATCACGGAAGGTGGCTCGAGTTCGTCGCGACGCTGTTGATCAGCTGACGACGCCGCTTCGCGAACTTTACTTTTACTGGCTAACTGGATCAAGAGACACCGCGAAGAGGTCCGAACAATTTCCAGTTTTTCCCGGCTAATTTCCAATCACCGCGGAAAAGTCTCGAGGGGTCGCGAGCGAGTTTTGATCCCGGAAAAATTGTTTAACGAGTAGGTTCGCATGGATGATCAGATACGGTTATGCAAATGCGAGTTATCGAACTATGCTAAATTTTCGGTTTCCAGCTAAATGAACTGTACATGTTTGGAAAAAGTTTTATGGAAAAATAGCTGTGCTTTGCTTAAATTTCCAACGAATGCGCCAATAAAAATGATTTACAGGAAAAATCGGATTAGAGGAAATTTAATGCGTGAACTTATTTATTTTTTTCGACCAGCGAAATTTATTTTGACTATTGTTTGTTATTCGTGCTTTAATGATGTCATTCGCTCTCCAGTTTTGTTTGAAATGTGCGCTGTATATCCCGTTTTACGTACTTACACATATAAAAATTATTGCTCTTTAAACATGAAAGGGTATATTTTTTTACTTGCTATTGTTTGTTTTACATTCTTCCTTTTATTGTTAAATGTTTCTATTTACGATTCTTTACTAACCTTATTCTTTTAATCAGTGATTATACAGGGCGTTTATAATTTTTTTTTTCTAAAACTGTAACACCCTGTAATTTGAAAACTAAGAGGTTTGGGACATATATTGGTATAAACTTTTCTTCTTAAAATCATCCAAACATTCTCATCCTGAAATATCGGCACTCAATTAATTAACACCCTGTACGTTTTTTCGTCTAGAACAAAATTATTACCATATTTTCGTTGCATTGGAAAACCTTAGCGCATTGTTCATTTGCGTTATTGAACTGATTCCAAGAGTTTAATAAAAGAAAAATCTAATTTAAGCAAAACCTAGTTGTGTCTGAGTCATTTTCACAAGGGGATATAAATCTGCCAAAAACAAAATGCCTTTCCACGATTGTTTCGTTGTTTTGTACACTTAGAACCGGTACTATTTCGGGAATTGGTAAATAATGCACCGATTTTAAAATAAACGATTTCTTTGCTAATATTAATAAATTAATTTCTAATAAATACATATGAAAATATTTGTATTAGTGACAATTCGATCACTTAATATATTCGATATCAAAAATATAAAATATATATGTAGCACCTCATTTTGATTGCTTTTTGAAATTCTCGCTTTCCTTTTGACATTTCTGGCAGCTCGTCATCGAATTGCTGCAATAGAAGAATTTTTAATACACATTTTCGATTAGTTAACGAACTCACCTGATTAGTTTCTTCAAATTATCATTTTCTATCGATAAGGAATGTAATCTCGTTTCTAACGAGTAAATGGAAGCATCTTTTTCACGAAGTTGTAGCTTGAGATCACTAATGTTTTCTTCTAACGCCTCTAATATTGCCTAAAACAATTTAATTACACCAAAAATTCAATTTTGGATTTCAAGAAAGCTCACTTTGGTTTCTTCGCTGCTATCAGAAAACACAGGCGGTTCGTTCAAGCAGAAAAAGTCCTGTATTTCCTGCGTGGCTATCAGCTCAGGTACGTCTAATATAGCATTTACTAATGTCTGCAACCCGTTGACCCGTTCTTCCAAGAAAATCGGATCGAAGTTGTTCTTCAGCCACCTTTTACCCGGAAGGTACTGGATTATCTCCGAATGGTGCGATCTGAGTCTATTGCACAGGCGCACAAAGTCTGTGTACCGCCGGAACACGAACCAAAAGGCACCGGTTGACTTATTTTCTATTTTTAATTTGTACACCTGTTAATAAAAAATTATTAATGTAACGCATTTCTATCATTAGAGTTAATTTTCTTCTACTCTGATTAACGTATGTGCTCGATAAATCGCATTATTATTCCTTTCAAAGTAATGTTTAACATAATATATTTTTATATGAGTACAGAGCGGAAAATAACTGTTAAAATGTGAACTGCTTAATAAATTTTAATGCTTATTAAAACAGTAAAACTCTGCCAAGTAATTCTAATACTGCACTAATACGCACAAGTTATGATTAATAATAATAATTTAATATTACATTCCTCAGAGGCTATTTAATGAATAAATTAAAATACTAATAATATCACACAAAATTATATCTATATCTAATTTTATGTAAGAAATAAGTTACCGTAAATCTAGCCCTTTCCTCCATAATCTCGTAGCCAACAATTGGAATTTGAATATTACCTGGGGTAATATGACCATTGGAAACATATTCCGAGAATGTAGGGAAGTAATTGCCATTTTCTTCTTCTATTGTGGAATTTTGTAGTGATAATGTAACATTGGAGGTGCTCGACTGGAAGTTTCTGTACCTGTTTAACATTTTAATTTTTATTGTACGATGATTCATGTTACTTTTGGCTATGTAGACTAATTAGAATTCGTAGCATAATTGAACAATAAGTGTGTTAACAATGAAATACCTTACCTCAAAGGTTCTGATAAATATTCCTCGGAATCTGTGGTAGCTGCATCTTCAGCCCTTTCGGAGATGTTTCGTTTCGACTTGTTTACTTTAAAATCCTTAGAATAAGACGTAGAAGTAGTTGTATTTGAATTATCACACATTTTCTGGACGTATTTATTAAACAATAAAATCTCGAAGGCAAATTTGGTCCTGCTGCCTATAGCACCTTTGTAGTTTTTTTTACTGTATTTTCCTAAAATGCATTACAATAGGAATCAATACCAACATAATGTAGTAGCTTTTTCATACAAAACAATTTCATTCTAATTATATGTAAATTATTGCTGATAATAATCTTTTGTTCACCCAATTTTAACTACAAACTTTATTTATTGGTTTCGCATAAACTGCCATAAACAGCAGAGTGAATGTCAATGTGTCAATGTCACGTCAAATGTCATACTTATTACCAACTTGGTCCAATTTTTGACATATTTTCTCAAACCTCAATAGGTGGAGGCCATTAAATTTGAACGAATAAAAGAAGCAGAAAATGTCATAACAAATCTTGATTCTTTGGTGGTGGCACTATTTTTAATATTTGTTTATAAAAAATGGTATACATTCATTTTCCTGCTAATTTTACCGAAGAGGAATTAATGTTGCAAGCTAAATACACAAAACTTAAGAAAAAAGTAAGTATATCCTCTTGTACTAACCTATTTTAGTTTTATATTATTTACCATAGAAAAAAGCACTGCAAGCACTAAAAGCGCCTAAGCCAGAACCCGAGAAACCCATAATTCCGAAAAGACCGGCAGAAGCACGAGATGCCAGAGAAGTAGCCAAAAAATTAATAAAATCTGGAGTTATACCGGCTATAACTAAACAGCAAAAGCAACCCGAGCACGGCTTCAAGAGACCCAGGGGCTTAGAAAGGAAAATCATATCTGACAAAACAGTGAGCGGTTACCAACCTTTTTCAGCCGTGCAAATGGACGATGGTCCGGATAACCCGGAAAACAAACCCCCTAGGATCAAAAACCTGTACGATACATTCGCAAATGCCAGAGACAGGGAAGAAAGGGGCCTGAACGAGAAGCAACAGCAACAACAGAAAACCGAGAAGCCCCGTCAGGGCAATACTATTTACGTGTCCGGATATAAAATCACCGAGGAATTTTTGAAAAAGCATTTTTCTACTATAGGAAATATTATAAACATTTCGATGGAAATCGAAAAAAAGTAAGTTGTTTGTTTCGAAACAATATCTTGTTTTTCTTACGAACACATTCGTGTTTCAGCCGCGGTTTTATTACCTTCGATAAAGTAGACGCTGCGGAGAGGGCTATTTCCGAGGTAAGAATAAATACAAAACTTTTCATCTCATACTTAATAAATTATTTTCTTTTAGATGCACGGTAGTATGGTTTCCGGGATTCCTTTAAAGGTGTCTTTAGCGAGGAGACAACCCCAAATCGAACCTATCAACGATGCAACATCGTCAGCTGCTTGGGCAACACTCGGTATATTCCCACTTACCTCTTCGTTTGGGTCTTTTGTAGTAATTAAATTAAATTTTAGCCTCCAGCCATTCGCAGAAGGGCAATCACAGAGACAAACGGAACTTGGTAACCTACGAGGACCTGTTTGATTAAGAAATTATTTATTTTATATGAGAATGAGGATTAATTAATTACACTAGTTGACAAGGTTTTGTGCAAAGAACTTATGATAATGGGAGAGATATATTCTTGGTTAAAGAAGAAATTTTTTTGTTAAAAAAATATTCCACAATTAGCGCGTCACATAACCGAAATATTTTAATAACATTATTTAGTTTAGTGAAATTTAATATCTAAGCAATAGGTACATGAACAGAAACTGCAAATTAGAAATGCTGAGTATTAAATTTTTGTTTTTTGTATGATTTTGAAGAGTCTAGAACCATTTAGAAAGTTACAGAATCGTCTAGAACTATTTTGAACGCCCCAGAATCATTTAGGACTGTCAATAACCATTTAGAACGCTCCAGAAACATTTAGAATTGTCTAGGACCATTTAGAACGCTCCAGAATGATGACCATGGTGGACAAAATGATTTTATAATATTTAAATAACCATAAAATTTCCCTTTAACAATATATTTTATAATAGTTTTACAAATAACAAATTCCCATGCGTTTCATAACATACTTAAAAATTACAAATAAAACTATAATCGTTCGTTTTTAATAATAATAAATCAACAAATTACAAATCTTTAGGCGGATTGAAGTACTCCCAGTGGTGCAAATGGATAACAGTCCTTTCCTCCCCGTAACCTAACAATAACAGTCCTGCGATAAGCACTAGAATGATGATGATCATCACGTTCAAGTCCTGCTTGCCGTCTTCGTTGTGGAACACGTTGTTTAAAATGTAGTTGATCAGTCTTTTGAGCGCGCTGTTCGCTTGCGAGGCGCACGCCCTGGCGAGCTGGCCGGTCAGCTGGGCGACGGTGGGCTCGCTGGCGTGCCGGTGGAGCCGCCGGGCGACGGGCGAGCCGTCCGACGAGTCCTCGGAGCTCGACCGGGCCGGGTGCTTGGCCCGCGCTGGTCTCCTCCTTCGCGGCACCGCGGGAATGTTGTCTTCGACGTATTTCTGCGCTCGGAGAGCGTAGAAGCTGACTGGCGGCTGGGAGGGCATGTAGCCGAGAGGGAGGTGCGGGGGCCTCGGCGGCGGCTCGTCGTCTACTTCCGGCTCTTGCATCGAGACTTCTGTGGTGGACTGCGAGGCTTTCAGGCGTTCCGATTGACGGGGCGGTCTGTGGGGAGGTTCTTCTGCTGCCTCGGTTGATTCCGGGTTCGTTAGGAGAGGGATTTCTTGTTCTTCTGTATGCGACATAACTGCAGGTTCTGAAAAAACTGAAGGTACTTCTTTAGGTTCTTCAAGCGGTACAGTTTCGGGATGGGATGTATCAGATATTCTTTCTTCTTCGCTTGTTACTGGTTCTTCTACGTTTTGGTTAGTGGAAATCTCGAAAGCTTCTTCGGGGCAAGGTTCTATCGTGGGTTCTCTACTTGGGCTGGGTTCAATCGGAGTTTTTTTTTGTTCAATATTTTCACTTTGTGGTTTTTCTTGTTCCTCCGGACTGTAATTGCTTCGGATGGATTTAACAATTTGCTCCAAAACTTCGGGAGGTAGGCTGATATCGGCTACTTTGGAACTACCGGTTTTTGAAGATATTTCATTCGTTTGAATCGAATTGCTATCGATTTCTGATACAACGATTTTCCCAGCTAACAGTCTGTTAACAGTTAACGTATCGACATCCAGATCAATCACTTGAAGTTTGTTCGCTTTGAGTACGTCCATTTCATTAACCGCAGATTTTTTTGCCTCTTTTCCATCTTCATTGGTATTTAAAGGTTTGTTCTCAACCACGGGATCTGATAGTTTGTGAAACTCATCTGGTATCGAAGAAGTTTCTTCATTATCGGATTCCACGTGCACTGGTATAATCTTCTCTTTGCGTATTTCAGAGAAATCAGAATCGGGCAAAATCCTTGCACCGTTTAGGGGTTCTACTATCAACGAACCGTGAGTTACCGTCTCTTCATGTGTAAACATAGTCGGAGTAATCAATTCCCTTTTTACTCTACGACCTTCCGCAGTTTGCGAAGGAATGATAACCCTGTCTGTCGGTTCCTGCACCACTTCTTCGCACACAAAATCCTCCGGCAGAGGTTCGGTTTGAGTGTATACTTCGCTTTCGCCGGCAGTAGATTTCTTTATATCTTCGGTTGAATCTACCGCTATGTTTTCTCTAGACGTGATGTCGGCGAGGGGCTTCAGTTTTCGAGGGGGCCTCGGAGGAGTCGGTAGAGGTCGGACTTTGATCTTCTCAATCACCTCTCCAGATTGTAAATTTCGACTGCTGCTGTTGCTGTCTTGTTCGATGTACTGCAAAATGTCTATGTCGAGATTTTCCTTATTTTCTGCATCAGCTTTGTGATTAGGTAGAATTGTACTGTAGATTCTAGACGGTCTAACAGGTGTATCATTCTCCACCTGACTTCTTGTTCTCGGTATTGTAAAGAAATTGTTCTCCTGCGTTCTCTTTGGTTTCTTCTTCCTCTGCAACGATCTGGGTGGCGGTAGAGGAGGATCCCTAGGTTTGTTTCTGTCCACTGTGGTGTAACCCATGTAGTCGCAGATGGTCTGAGTACAGGGCTCTTCAATACATGGCACTGGTAGATCCTCTTCTTGGCAAACACTATTGTTATCTTCCTGAGGAATTGTTCTTGTTTCAGATGCAGCTCTTGAGCCTGTTCTGGAATTAGAATTGCCTCTGGATCTTGACCTTAGAGGACGAATTGGAGGTTGGATTTCGGGTTCTATTGGTATTATTATTTTGGATTCCGTTCTAATGGCGTCGATCTGAAATTACATGAGTAATAATGATACATTGCGTGTAAATATTGTATAGTTACCTGAGGTTCCTCAAGAGTTTTCTCAGAACTGAAAACCATCCGATTAGCTACCAAATCGCCAGGCAGAGACTCGTTCTCTGAAATTGTCAAACTCTTGACACTTTTGTGCTTACGCGGTGGAGCTGGAGGTGGTAAATCTTCGATGCTTTCGTCCAAGTAACGATAATTATTGAAATTTTCTCTACTCATTTCAGGTTCGGTAATGTTTAATTCGTGACTTGATATCTGCGGGTATTCATTGACTTCTTTTTCCTTCGTGTGATAACTGATTCGTTCCGGGACTTTTTTATTTTTCGGGATCGTTGAAACGACTTCGAAAGTTCGAATGGCAGATCCCATTTCAAACGTTTTTAAACTCTTGATGCTTTTCGGTTTCAAACGTGGCGGCGCCTCGGGAACGTACAAATCTTCTTCCGGTTCGTTCTCGTCATTTTCTACATCATCTTCGATTTCTTCTATTTCGTCTTCACCGTAGTTTTTGTAAGGATCGGTAATTCTTATTTCCGGTTGTTCGATTCCTTCCATTGCTTCGTTTTCGTAGGTGAAGTCTTGTTCATCGTCTGCTAGAATGCCCAGGCTTTCTCTGTGTTGGGTCAATCTTTCGTCTTGTGTTAAATCTACTTGTATGGTCTCTTGGTAGGGAATAAATTCTTCGTTTGTCTTCTTCTTCTTTTTGCTGCGGCGTTTCGGCCTTGAAGGCGGGATTGCGTCGGTTTCTTCATCAGCGCTTTCTTCTCCGTACTGAATTCTTTCCTGTGAGGCATGAGGGGTTTTCTTGCGTTTGGGTTTCTTTATAGGTTTTCGTTTATTTTGCAATTCCGGCAAGGAGTGGTGGGAGCCCTTATTGAAATTGTTCTCCTCCATTTGGACCAAAGCGTTCGTGGGATTTCTGAACGCTTCTCTAATTTCAGTGCTCAGATACATCCCCACTTCAATGTTATCTTGCGATATTCCTTTTTGCCTCAGGAAGAATTCGTCCGGATTAATTTCTTCCAAAACGCCTTGCCGATGAACGGCTACCGAGCTGCTAGAAGAATAATTCGGCTCCTTTCCGTTGTTCGAGGAGAATTCTTTGTCTTCAGTTGGTGAATCCAAATCCGTGACTCTAGGCTGCCTTCGTTCATCGCCAAATTCATCGGGATTGAATCTGCCTCTCTGCCACCGACTAAGAAAATCTCTCTCCTCCATCACCTCCTTAGTTTCTCTCTCGTATTCATCTTCACTATCGATACCTTCGCTATATCTGATATGAGATGGTTCGATTAAATCACTAGATTCTACTCGCGAATTTAACTCATCCTTATCCGTCGAATCTTCGGAATGCAGAGGAATCCTTATGGAATCCGTAGCGCTCCTTCTACTGTCTTCGGTAGACTTGCTGCTGTCGGTCTTCTTCGCTCTCGGAACAGTCGCAAACTGCGGTGCGACGTCCGGCTTGGATTTCCGCTTGAAGATCCTAGGATAAGTACCGAAATCGAACGTGATTTTCTTAGAGCCACCGGAGGTGGACTCCGTCGACGAAATTCGTTTCGCCGGCTTCTTAGCCCCCTTTCGCGGTAGGCTAAAGTGCGGCAAACTGATCTTAGCAGTATCCGGCATCTTCGGCATGCTCCATTTGGGCTTCTCGATTTTGAATCGCTGCAAATTGGGCTTCTGGAATTTCGGCCTCTCCGGCAGCGTGATGTGCGGTTTCTTGATGCTCTGCAGCTTCGTCTTGAAGTTGCTGGCCTTCTGCTTGAAAGCCGCTTGGAATTTACCTCGAGCTTCTTTGGGAGCCGGTTTCTTCTCGCTAGTTTCTGAACTCCGCGAGTCAGATGTTGCGGAGAAGGCGACTTTTTGGGTCTTGAGGGGTTTCTTGTGGGTGTCTTCGGATATTTCTTCGTACACGTGCTTAGCGCTTAGATTGTAGTTGTCTTGATCGGACAATCCCATTGCTTCTTCGGTACTGATTACAACTGCTGGGGTATTGTTTAGGTTAATTGTCTGTAGCTCGGTGTTTAGCGGTGGTTGCAAATGTTCTGGTTCATGGTCGCTGGAAAATAAATCGATTATGTTTTGCGATTGTAAGTGCGTATGCAGAATTTATACAGGGGTAATTTAAACTTCGGACGGGTGAACTTACTGCAAGGAATCCATACTGAATCGTACGGTGTGTTTCAAACTCGACGTTTTCGAAGGTTCGTTAACTTTGCAGTTTTCTTGAGCGGCTAATTTTTCTGCCAGCTTCTCCGCCGCTTGCAGGTCGCTCTGGAAGTACTGGCACGCGCATCGGACGTCGAGCGATTTGACCGAAGTCTCTGATGACGGTTCCCGCGAAACGTCGCGTCTCCTACCGGCGGTTTTGGCGCCCTCCGACAGCGATCTCCTGTTTTGCTTGTAGGTGTTGCCCAAGCGAGACGCGCGACCGTTCCTTTTGCCGTAGCCCTGCACTTTTTGGGCCTCCATCTCGGGCTTAGGGGCGAGTTATACTGCGAGAGCGTTGGATTTTTGAGAAATGATTGCTGGTTCCAGGCTCTAATAGATAGCTGTAGACGTGACCTTCACGTCTATAGTTATTACTGTCGCATTAATGCAGAAATTTTGGATATTTGAAGGATATAAATAAAGTAATGAAATCGCTAAATAAGGAAGTAAATTTTGGGAATATCATGACTGCTTAGCGCATGCGTTAGACATGGATTTAAGGCAATCTTTTCTCAAAAACCAACTAAATCTAAACACACTATTTACTTGTTAGTGTCCCAACATTTCGCGGAGGCGCCTCTGAGCCGAAAATGGTCGCGCGTTTCAACCGTCACTGATTTTTTTTTCACGAGAAATTTCGATTTTTTCGCATTTTCGCCCGACGGGGAGTGACCAGCTCCAATAACTCCAGACCACTAGCTAATTTTAGTGCGGGGCTATTGTTAGATTTTTGGGAGGTTACGATAGTTTCCGAGCCTACAGCTCGAGTGTTTTTATTTTCGACTTGGCTTCGACGCGAAATTATTTTCGCCCGTCGTTTCTGCGGATCCGAAACATCGAAAGTGCTCGTGCATTTGGCACCGCTCGAACGGTAAATCGATATACGAAAATTCATAACCGAATTTCATAACTGAATTTATTGTGTAACTAAATGAATGTTTCAATTGAGCGCGTATTAACTTGCCGTTTCTAAAATTAGTTCAAGATCTTGAATCTCTCTATTAGTGCATTTATTTTTCTTCCCCTGTAATTTCAGTTTAGGTACTCAGTAATTTATAAAAATATATTAGTAACAATTTGAAAGTTTTGGTCATCTGCGTTTTTAGTAACTGCACTATTTGAGTTTATGCCAACTCCAATCCGCTTGAGTGTCTCGGATCAAAAGTGCAATGCAATTAGTGCTGTATTTGTTTAGTTTTTAGGTTTGTTTTTGTTGACATTTTTCAGTTGGCATTCTGAGGACGCCGAAGATTAAATTTAGACTGGGAATGATGCAATTACGAGTTCTTCCGAGGTGTAATTGCATAACAGGCATTACTTGAAGTACTGAAAATTTCCTAATAGTTCTACTTGAAACAGATCTGCTCTCTGCATGAAAGACGGTTTATAAACTTTATAAACAACTTCGATTTTATTACTGAGATATCGGAAATTTTGATTACTATCCATAACATAACGTGTGGAATTGCCTTCGCATAATAACCAATTAACGATCTGTAGTATCCGAATGTTGGAAAAATTCTAGTTTGCTTCCAAAATACCCACCAGATCGTTCCAAATGTTGACGCAAATGCTGAAATGGGTTTGTAGTAAGAAACTATTTTTAAATAAGTGAATGAATCTTAATTGAACGTATCCAAAAAAATGTTTTCTAAAATTGTTCTAAAAAAAGTAGGAGGTAAGAATCAATTCCTGTATAAATTCTGCATCGATTAGAAATAGAGGAAATTTTAACTTACTTTGTTTCGGACCATTTTTCTTTATGTTTCTCGTCATCTTTCAAATCGGTGCCATCTTCAGTAACCGTAATGACTTCCTTGGCTTCGGGCTTATCAGTTTCTTCTTCGCTACTTTTGCTCTTCGATTTGCGCTTAAACGAAACTTTTTTCTTCATTACCGGCGAATTGGGTGCCTTGAGAACCGATTTTAATTCCGGTTTATCTTCAATAATTGATTTTTCTTCGGTGACCGTTTTAACTACTTCCTCAGGTTTATCGATATCTTCATTGCAGCTTGCTGATTCGCTTACTTTACTTGCATTATCAATCGTATCATCAGTTATAGTTAATTCTTGCTCTACAATTTTAATTTCTTCTTTAATACCAGCATCTTCAGTTCCTTCTACGACAATTTCATCTTTTTTAGCCTCACTTAAACCGTCTTCCTCATCAATAGTCATATGCTCGACTTTTTTATCTTCTTCCAGTTCTGTAATGATTTGTTCTTCGTGAGAATTTTTACCATTTTCTTCGGCTACCGAAGCTAATTTGTTAGAGGTGGCTCCGTTTGTTACTTCATTGATGGCATCTTTTGCGATTTTCTTCAATTCGTGTACCTTCAACGGGAAGAAAGGTTTATTTTCCGAAACCGGCGTTTCCGGAACGTCCGAGCTATTGTAATCCAATATCTCATCATCCGAAGGAGCTGTTAGTATTATTAACTGGACATCGGGCGCAACATCTGGAGTATTAATTGAACATTCGGGATCGCTTTCACTTTTAGATTCTGGTTCTTTAGGAACAACTGTTGCGGGAGCTTCGTATTTTAGATGAGAAAATTGATCGGTTTCGCCTTCGGGAGGTCGTAAAGGAATGTGTATGTAAACAGGTTCTACGTGTTTCTTCGGTTTTAATTGTTCTTTGGGTTTGTCAACAATATCCTTTTCTTTGGTCTTCTCATTGGATTTGGGTGTATCCTTCGCTTTAACGTCCTTTTTGGATGTGGTTCGAGAAAGCGAGCTTTTCAATTTATCTTTGGCGTCGCGGAGTTTCTTCAGAAAGCCCAGTTTGGATAAGCTTTTTCGACTGTAGCTGCTTTCCAAAGAAGCTTTGCGTTTACGTTCTGGCTCGGCCGATTTCGAACGGACATTTCTGTTTTCTTTTTGCGAATTAGTCCTTTCTCTCGAAGTGGAAGCTTCGAAAAGTTTATTGAAGTAGTCTTCGTCCGGTGCTTCGATAACCGGTGAACTTGTATCTTCTGTAACATCTTCGGGTGTGTCAATTTGGGTTGTTACTTCATCGGTGGCCTTGCAATTTCCGTTTGTTATTGTAGATTCCTCTGGAATTTCTTTTTTTTCAATGTCGAAAACATGTTCTTCTGCTACGAGCATTTTAACAGTAACATCAACCAGCTCTTTGTTATGCGAATCTTCAGGTTCTTCTTCTTTGAGTTCTCTTATAGGCGATGGGTGTTTGTGCTCGATAGGTGGCTCTTGTAGATGCTTAATAGTTTTGACTAAATCTCTGAAACTTGCTGGTTTTCTAGTTGCTGCTTCTTTCTCTAAAGGCTCATTTTCCAAATGAGAGTATTGATCAGTTTCACCGGGAGGAGGTTTCAGCGGTATATGAATGTAAACAGGTTTGGTGTTAGATGAAGTAGCTGTGGAACTTTGGGTGGGTTTTTTGATTTGTGGTGGAGAGTTTTTAGTTTTTTTAGGTATCGGTTTTTTTAACTTGGTAGGAAAAGTTAGTTTCGGCGCTTTGATTTTTTCTGTGGTGCCTTTTAGTTTCTGTATGAAGGCTTTCTTTCCCAGGCTCAATTTGCTGTTGCTGCTTTCTGCCGATAATTTCCGCTTCTTCGCCGACATCTCGTTTTCAGGCTTCAATTGATCTTGTGATGCTTTTGAATCCTGCGATGGTAGACGTTCTTCTTTGTCCAGATACTGGCTAATATCATCGGAGCTTTCCTCAGAATTTAAGAAAAACATTCCAGGGGTTTGAGCGGTTTCCTCTTTATCGATTACTTCGTAGGCACGCTCAATGTCATCGTCGATTTCTTGTTCTTCAAGATTCAATGAACTACAACTCGTCTTCATGGAATGCGTCATGTCTTTAATATCTACACTAGGATCGTCAAGAACTTCTTCCACTGCAGATCTGTTATCGAACGTGGTTACTTCAGATATGGAGAAATCATCTGATTTGCCCATAGTCGAGGAGCTCTTGGCTTTGCGCATGCCTTCCATGGTCCAAGGTTCCGGATCCAGATGTTCGTACAAAGGTTCCTTGTAGAGATGAGTCCAGGGATATCCTCCTCTTCGTCGGGATCTTCTCACGTCTTCCCACTTGTAGGTCTCGATCGGCACCTTCGGAGATTTGCGTCCTGAAATAAAATGTCTCGTTCATACGGAATGCTCTGGTAATTTGTAATGCGTGTCGAATCTGCTCGAGTTTTTAAACTAGAACATTTTAAATTGAACTAGGATATCGTGCCGGACGAACTCCCAAAAATATATTTTTTGTTTGACAAAAATAAACTCCGACTCGCAGAACCTTGGCTAATAACGCCTACATTTCCATTTCGTGCATGCATTTGACAAAGTTTTCGAAAATCGCATTTTTATAAATTTGAGAAATACATTGTTAGGAAACTGAACTATCATTATGCAGCTGATACTTTAAGGATTGTCATAAGATTTTTGAACACATGAATAATTTAAGATTTTCAGCAGGTAATTTGAACAAGTAAATGAAATATTTATCTGTACTATTAAAATTATTAATTTACCTATATAATTAATTATCTAAGATCATTAAAATAAGTAATTGATAGACACTAAAAACTCACCTCTTCTGATCCTCTTATTTGCTTTTTCCATTTTCCGATTGGCACCAACTTAATAGAACTTTCGTCCAAAAGTCCATGATCATCAAGCAGTGCAAGGAGAGAAAAATCGAGAAAATAAACTGATGCGCGGTTTGACCGACAGGGAAATTAATCGCCGGGCTCTGAAATGTTTTTCTCTTCAATTCTGGCGTACGACTGAAAACCTTTTCGACTTATTCTTGGCCGGGCTATTTTTGAAAACTGACGCTGGTCGATGCGAATTTCGACCACCTTAGCAAATGTTCTATATAGACCGGTCGTATTAGCGAAATATTTTATTGTTATTATGCATTTGCAGTTTTCTTTCTAATAGTTTTGAACTAAAATTTTTCAGGTAAATCATGCTTTGCTCAACGTTTATTAGAAATTATTAACTCTCTTAACATTTTTGTTCTGATTTGTGATTATTATACTTTATTTACGAAATGTACTTTTAATAATGGAGTAATAGAACTAATATTTTGAAGTTAATTCCAAAATTAATCGTGAGAAAAGGAGATTTTTAATTGTGGAAACTGTACTATTGCGAGTAATTTCTGTCTGTTCAGATGAGAAAATTTATTGGCTAATGAATCGTCTCAAGGATTCGGTTGATTTTTCATGATGTAATAGAAACGTTTTACAATAAAATAAAAAATATTTTGAACTCATAATCGGACCGGAAAGAGTGCTCCTACCTCTTTTAATATAGGTCTAAAATAAATGATTCAATTTAATCAAAAATATTATTTATTTTACTTTTAATCTAGTACTTATACCAATTTATACAATAAATCTTAGACTAAAATTGCGCTATATCAGGAAAATGTTAATTTTTATAATTTCTATATTGGCTAAAACTTTCAAAAATTTGGTCATTCCTTTCATAGAGTTTCTCGTAGAGCTGAGCGTATTTGACTTCCTTCAAACCACCATACTCGATAGGCAACACTTCCTTGTCTATGTACTCGTAGAACGATTCCAAGTTGTTGAAATGAAAATGCATCTAGAGTAAAAATAAAACGTTGAGACACATCCAGCAAAAAAAAACAATTCTAAACTAACCATATCTTTAAATTTTTGCGGTAAAAAAGGCCACATCATTTTGATGCCGATGCTTATCCACCAGGAATTGTTCACCACGTGCACTTTGAAATCCTTAAACGGTAGATTATCAGTTTTCCTAATGCTCTGTTTTATCAAGTTCGGTTGCATCCATTTGCTGAGCTTCCAGCTTTGATCCTTGATGTCGATTATAACGCAAAGTCCTTTCGCCGCCGCCTCAGGACGTTCCATTAGAATGGATTCGATCCAAACATCGTCCACGGCTACCACATCGAAAAGGCTCATCGTACTTACATCAATATTACCTAAAAAATGTTAATATTAACAATATTTTTCATACTCATAACCAAATCATTGGTTATGTCTGGGTAATTCCCGTAGAGTATAATTTATCTATGGATAACATGGAGCTATGTTACCAACCTTGAATATTTAATACTATAGCAGAGGATCTATTTAGGTAAATATTGAATACTGTTATTAGTACGAATATTAGGTACCTAAATGATTTAAAAATTTTATAAATTTTTGGTACCTACAGTGGCAAAAGCATTCATTTTAATCAAATTCAATTATCATTTGCCAGAACTAAACTGATTATTGGGCATAAAATATTTAGTACCTGTATTGTTTACTTTATACATTCTTACCTATACATTAGATAATTAGCAAATATGAAACAATACTGTTGTTTTCAGCAATTTTAATTTTCTAGTAGATTACCTATATCGATTATAATTCAATCTTATAAACAACTGTATTAAAGTTTTTTCGAATGTTGCTTCAAAGCGAAGGTCAATTTATAATTTATTTTGTATCATTCGTACAAGGTAATTATTGTTATTCATTAAATGCAATTAATACGTACCATTTTTTACTAAATATATAGGCCGCCCGTCTTTATCACAATCGGGTAATACTGCTCGAATGTCCTTTTCGATAAATTCTTTTAATTTCAATGGGCCGTCCTTTCTGTACCAGTCATGTTGATCTAACATGTGTTCTTTGGATGATTTTATCTAAAATATAATTCATTCAGAGGGATTTTTTATTGACAATAAAACGGAAATTTAATAGGTATATTATGCACACGTTATAATATTTATTCTGAGCAAGGTTTACGTAAAACCGGATTGATTCTGAACATTATGTTATAATTAATCTGCGAATAAGATGTTAATGTTAACAGGAAATTAATACTAATTTGCATGCTTGGACTAACAGAATTAATATTGATATTTATTTCTAGAAAATTTTGGCTAACTCAATTTCTCTTTTCGTAACCAATTAAAATACCAATGGTGAGGACAAATTGTACAAGGTACTAATTAAAAAGTACAATTTACCTACTGGTATATTCCATTTACCGTTTAGTAAGGCATTGAAAAAAATATAATTGTATTGTTAAAACAATGGGAATAACTTTTGTTTAATTGATTAGTGAAATTGTTAGAATAAACGTTGGAAAATGATAATATCTACCTTTTTAAACGCTTCATCTACATTGAAATCAGCGCCGTACAAAAATCGTTTTAAATAGTTTTCATTGGGTATTACATCCAAGTCTAAAAAATTAAAAAAACGGAGTTACATAGCAAATTTAATGAGAAATAGAAAATAATATTAAACAAATGAGAAGCAATGTGCAAATCTGCGTAACAATCTAAGTAAAAAATTAATTAGTTTTTAGCTGCTATTATATTTTGTGAAATTTCATAATTGGTTTGATGCATTTTCTATTTAATTAGTGGCACGCATTAAATAAATACTATTAATTAAGAAACTATATTTTTAATTAAACTGCTTTTTTAGAATATTTAATAAAAAAAATATATTTGAGTCACTATAAACTAAGAATGATGAATGAATTATCGATAATGTATAAACAACTATTAATATCTAAACTAATTACAATGAAAAATTAGTCATAGATACCATTTTGATCATTTAATGCACTAATTACACAATTTTGTATGTCATGCCAATTATTTTTTTAAATAAATAAATAAAACGTAAATGAAAATTCTTACTTTCGACCAATTTTTTCAATTGTTCCAAGGCATTGTCGTGTTTATTTAAAACACCCTTCACTTCAACGCAGTCACTGCTGCATTCAATCATTTTCAAAAACTAAAAGGTACCACTGGACAATAAAAATTTCCCTACAAGTTACTAGTGATGTTTCGCAACAGCTATTTGCGCAATGACCATCCACTCCGAATGAAAAATGGGTCTGTGGAATTGCACTCCGTAAAGGTAGCGTTCAACTTCTGTTCGTGACATTGAAAACTGGTATTTGTCATGCATATTTTCATTTCATACGGTTTATGGTGTTGGTATTTCATTTATGTTCGAAGCGGAGAACAGGTGCAAATGTGGATACAATTAAGAAGCTCTTCGCATATTCATGTTCCTGTTAGATTGATAATTTTTACTATAATTTATAGACCTAATTTAATGACACCCTCTGATATTACCAGATTTATTTTTACTATACTTTTTTCTAACTGTAGGGAGATAATCAATCAATTTATTAAATTAATTATTTAACATGCGCTATATCTAGGTGTACGCGTTTATACGTTTTATTTTTTTCCTCTAAAAATTATATTTTTTAGGACAAGTAGGATAACTTTAATAATTACCGCTTATTAGGTAGTTAATGATAGCTAACATTATATGTAATCAAATGAAAATATAAATCGTATTTGTATTGCAAAAAATATTATGTCGCTAAACATAATTTACGGGTAAAGTACGTTTGTTCAATAATGAGCGTGAGCGGGTTACATTAGGTTGATTTTTTACGTTAATTAAAATAATATCTACCTTTGTTGTTATTTTGTAATTTTTATTCATTAAAATATTCATATCTTGTTTATTCCGAAATTAATAAAATTTTGTTAGAGATAAAAAGGAAATTTTCAATGTTTACATTTTGAATATACTGTGTATGTACTAATTTAACTCACTTAAACGATTCTTTAAATGTTCTCTTTATTATTGTTCAATTTATTTCTGTTACATAATCAATACAAACTAATTTGATTGATATCATCCACATGTTTCCAGAATTTATAATTTTTTGTTAAACGTGTTGCCTACCCTAAAATTTTTAACAATATTTTAACCAAATAACAACTAATTTAAGATGCAGTTGTCAAAAAGAAGAAGAATTTAACCTTATTAAAATTTCCATATCTGTCAAAGTCAATCTCTTACATTTTAGAAATTTTATTTATACAAATCTCTGATTTACATAATAATTACGTTGTTATCTTTAATGAGGCATTAGTCAAAATGACCGAAGTAAGTACATTCATTTATTTCTTTTCTTTATGGGTTATTTCTTAATCTAATTTATTTCAGAACAAAAGAGTAGTACCACCGATTCTACAAAATCTGCTGAAGTATGATGCATATATTACTAACGAAGCAGTCACCTTTGCTCAAAGATTTCTACCTTTCGAAAAATATGAAGTGTATTATACAGCTTTAGAGGTTCGTACAACTTTCTTGAGCTTATAAAATATTACTCACTTCATTGAATGTATTAAACGATTAGGAAAATGTACTAATTTAATTTCAGCTCTCATGTAATGGATTAATACATTTGCCTTTTTGGTTCGTATTCTCTTGGTTATTCGATTACCCGGACTTTGTACAAATGCAGGTCAATATGCTTTTCGGTAAGTAAAATTCCATAATACTGTTATCTTAATGTTCAACAAATATTTACATTCTCATTAAACTGAGACATTTTGTTAAAGGTCTGTGTTTAGACGTAATACTGGTGGCTGTAATAAAGGCATTTGTAAGAAGAAGAAGACCGCATCGAAACGTTGATAAATATAACAGTCAATTAGGTCCAGATGTGTACAGTTTTCCATCTGGTCACGCTAGTCGTGCGTTTTTCGTGGCCTATTTTTTTACAGTTCTTTGGCCAATCAATTTCATATTCCATCTACCTTTAATAGCATGGGCATTGAGCGTTGGAATAAGCAGGCTTTTGTTGAACAGGCATTACATAGGGGATATAACTTGTGGTTTTCTGTTGGGCATGTTTGTAAGTAATATAGTAGGATTTTTATGGATCGAAGAAAGTACTGCAAAGTGGTTGTTTAATTACGTTTCAGATGATAAATTGTAAATTGTGGGTGGATTTTTCAATGCTTTCTGATCATTTTTTTTTAAGATTTCTTTATAGATTTGAATCATGACTAACCTAGTCTCAAACACATTTCACTCGTTGACTAGTCTATTTTTAAATTACTTTGTTTTTACACCATTCCGGTTATCTAATAAAAGTATTGCTCATATATAAAAGTTCTCTTAAATGCTCAATGAGATTTGTTTAATATTTACGCAGATATTTTATTTATTGTTAAGGTATTTAACTAAACCAAAGATGAATCTTATAAACCACAAGACGTTAAATGATATTTTTAAAAACCCATCAAATGGAATAATTAGTTTATATTTTTTGTTCTCTGTGTATTCAGATTTCATCCTCTTTATGTAAAGTATTAAACGATATTATTATCCTATTTTTTCTTGTTTTCTTAAGGACATCGAATTTACTAGGAATTGGTTTGTATATAAAAAAATGGTGTATTAATTAAGCATATATTTCTTCCGCTAGCAGGTACATTAAGAAAATTTAGGGAGCCTGCGATAATTAAGCAATGGGGCGAATTTTTAAATAGACGATTAGTCTGAACAAAAGCAAAATCGCCCTAATGAAATTATCGTACGCTCCCCGTACAGCTTTAACTCTGTTACTGCATTTGCCAAAAATATTTACATAAAAATCGTACCAAATGCAACATGAGGCCCATGTATCAATATTTTACATATTAAAACTTAAAAAGTTAGTTTATATATGTTTTCCTATATAATATAGTACAGGATGTACAAATATTGTAATTTATCTTGTACAGTGATTAATTTTGTTTAAAATACCCCTACAATGTTTTCCGAAATGTTTGGTATAATACAGAAAATTTAACAATACTTTTTATCTCATTACGATATTTGTTCGTCCTGCAGGTTTACATCTTACACTAGAAAAATTTACAAGGGAGTGACTACGCCACCCTCACTGGTTGAGGCTTGGTTCAGTAGACACAATTTAAAAAGCGTATAAGGGTATTTTTCTGACGAAACGAAAAAATTACTATTTACAAAATTTCATGAAAAAAATCACAATCACTAATGAAATACTAATGTTTTACACTATAGTTATTAATTCAGCGAAATACTGTAGTATTGCAAAAATGGAGATTCCAAACGACAACAATGTACATTTTTTGCCAACAGTAAAACTCGCCCAATATAATAACGTTAGATTTAAAAATACTCCAATTTCAATAACGACACAAATTTCCTCCTTTAACATTGTTCGTATTGGACGAGCTCAAAGGGCAAATCTACATAAATGCTCCTCTATATGAGTTATAGACCCAAGGTGATATTAATTACCATAACATTAACGTTTTTAAACAGATTAAGTACCTAATATTTGTATTAACAATGGCACTAAATATGATATGTCCTACTACGAGTATAATGTTAAAAACAATACATCGATCAAAATTCTTGCAACAATTTTCATTTATCAAAGGGCTCAGAGATGGAGAGATTTCGAGATTTCAGTTTTAGTAGCTTCTTTTTTGCACTATGTGAAAAAAAATCTCTCTTAATTTTCTCGTTTTAATACGAGAGTTGTTCACATCATTTATTTTACAGCAACAAAATGGGATTGCAAGGTTAATGCATTTGGAGAGTAAATATTTTTTGCCTTACAAAATATCGAGTTTATTTTATTGATATGTTGTGTATCATTGTACAAGTTTTCAACCTCTAGATGATCTTTTGTAAGGTAATTTCTTCCTCTGTTTTCTGCATTATATCTCACATAATTGTAAGGGAAATGGAAATTGTTTCGGATAAAATTTTGATCGTAGTTTTCACTTCTTACCACGTTAGATATACATCATTCACAATACCGGCGAAAAACCGAAAGAAATTCGCTCTGTTGGAATTTTGAAACAAATATTCCAGGCGAATGTTTTTCTAATAAGAAAAGGTATAAATATTATACAACCGAAAAAAAATCTTCCGGTTTTTCACCTAAAACAACATTCTATCAGCCTTCTTCTCTAATGAGTATTGAGAATTAAATTTCTCTTAGAAACGTGCTTATGCAGGGCAGCTTGAAAACCTATTTCTTGCAACTTGGGCTATTGCCGTAATGATAGAAATGCTGGGTTTTCAATACAACCGCCGTACATAAATTTACTATGGAATAATTTACGATTATGTTGAAAATTCTTGTCAAATAAATAGTTAAATATTTTTATAAGCGCAGTCAAAGAACCAACCTTATTGCAAAAAAAAACTTACAAAAATATAAATAAATAATATCTCATCTCTCAAAAACCTCTCTCTTCTCGTTTGACTTTGCTTTAAAGGTCTTAAATTATATACAATATACATAAAGTAAAATTGTCCAAAACCTGTCGCACATTCGGATAATGATATGTCCTAAAATTTACTGATGAAAATTATTTTGTTCGCAATGCGGCAAGTTTTGGACGTGTAGCGTTCAGTATTTTTAACCTACGACGTACAAAATAAATATGACACTTCGGCTCTTCTTTCTTTTTTTTACTTGATCATCAGTCTTCTTTGGTTACGGGTAACTTGGGACTTTCAGTCCGTCTCAAACAAAAAAAAGTACCTCGTCGAGTCCTCCTTCACTGCTTGTGCGACGATCGCTCCTCTATCTTCTTTTTGTGCCGGATCTTCCGGCACTCTTTCAACGAACAGCAGTAGTCCGAGTACAGAAACTGGCTCCGCTTGTTCGCTTTCGATCGCCCTTTTCGAAAGTCGAAGATCATCTTGCAGTTCTTCCACTCGCACCGTTCGCGCGAGCATTTCTGTGTACCATTCTGCGAACAAAACAAATTGCATTTAACAAACGATAATCCTAATTAACTCGATGAGGGTCACTTGGTAGATACTTACTTGACATTTGCAGGTAACGCATTTGTATTCGCCAAGCGACGCGATGTGCGGGTGGTAAGAAGTGCCGTTCTTGTAGGGTTTATCGGGGTTGTTGTTGTTCTTGCAGCCGCCCTCTTTCAGTATCATGGCGGAGTTGGAGACGTCTTCCTTGCGGATCATGGGCCAGCCGCCCATCGGTATATCGTCGTCGTCCCGGAGGGTCTCCGGCGTCTCCGTGGCGGAGCCTTTGCCGCATTTGGCCGAGTTCGTTTCGATTCTGCGGCACTTGATCTCCAAGTCCACCGGATCGCAGGTGCACACCGTGCAGTCGTCGAAGCCCAGCGGTATGAGGAACGGGTGGAATTTGCTGCCCGACGAGTATATCATGCCGTTGAACAAGCATTTTTTGTTGCTCTTCACTATTTCCGGATCGCTGCAGACTGGACAGCACTCGCCAGGTATGGTCACGTTGTTCCTGGGGCATTTCAGATCCGGGCAGGTCATTCTGTCGCAGGTGGTTTGTCCGTCTTGGCAGAAACACATTTGGCAAGGGTTTTTGGACACCCAAGTGCTGTCTTTCTTGTAGAATTTGCCTTCGAAGAAGCAATCTTCGGTGGGACGACCGCCGGGAACGTCGTAAATCAGCGGAACGTTGTTATTGTAAAGTGGTCGACAGGTTATCGGTAACGTCAACTGCAATTTAAAATATATTACTTTACAATGCTCTAAAATGCGCACAAACAATCCCGCTTACCTTCGTAATTGTCGCCGATAACAGCACGATTTTCGAATTGAAGTCCTTTATCTTCATGAACGTCACGCCGCTGTCCAGCATGTCCAGCTCCTCTTTGGTTAGCGCTTCCAGCGGGCTCCCCTCCACCGAGTTGCCTTCGAAGTCTTCCAGGTGCTTCAGAAGCACCGGCGCGCCGGGCGCTATGATCGGATACATCTCCAAATAGACTTCCATTTTCCTCTCGTGTCCCAGTCCGGACAGCGAGACGTCGTAGTGGATGTGGCAATCGTTGTCGACCGATACCCAGGCCAATCCGAGCACCGACGTGGATAGAGTGTAGTTTTCGCGTTTGAGCAGCAGCGGGGCGGGCGCGTCTCGAGCATCGGCGACGAGCTTGGCGTTCAAGTGGCCGTGGAGGGTGCCGTTGCCCACTCCGACTCGCATGTCGAGCCTGTTGTTGTACAGAGGCTCCAGGACTTTGTGGACCATTCGATCCTCGGTGCCGTTTGCCCAACCCGAATCGAAGCGTGGCGTCAATACTTCGGCTTTCTTCTTGCCGGCAATGTCCGATAAAGTCACAGTGATTGATTTAATGTGCGGTTCGTTTAGCGCGTTATCGATTTGGATGTTGTAAATCAAGGCTCCTTGGTTGTTCAAGTACATCCAAGCGAGTCCTGTTGTGACACCGGCTAAATCCTTGTCTCCTATCAGCGTCGTTTGGAATATTTCGCAGGTAATTTTGGTGATAACGTTCCCGCTCAAACGCAAGTTGTTCGGTTCTGATAGTGAAGACACTGTTAAAACCACCCTTCCTCTGGACAACGAGCGCAAATCCGCCAAAGAGATCGGAGAGCTCAATTCAATGTAGTTCAAATCCGATGCGGGTTTGCGCACTTTGATATTCTGAAATTAAATAGCGCAATGTTACAGACGAAATTCTAAAAAAATCGTTAGGTTTGACTAACCTCTTCGAGGAGGATTTGCTTCTTTTCGTCCAGTCCTAAGATGATGTTAATCGGCACGTCGAAATTCTCGTGGCTGGTAAACAATCCGTTAAATATTACAGCTACGTGTATGGACGGTGATGGAGATGATAATGTAGATACTATAGCCATACCGCCGGAACCGGCCATTTTCGCGGAATCGGTACCTGGAGCTGGTTCCAACAAGGAACTGAATTGCTCAGATGCCAGCGAAACGTACTTGCTTAATCTTCCGCTGAGGGTAAACTCCGATTCCTTCGTGCCCCATATCAACACCACGTACATTTTTTCGTTTCTCAATAGTCTACAACAACGTAATAATGAAATACAAAAAATCGTTTATTTGTAATGTTTAACTTACTTTCTATAATCTCTTGGTAATCTTCTCCATATACCGCACACTTTCCTGGTTGCGTTTTGGTAAAGACTGTTGACTAAACCTCCGGCGTGTGATAGGGTGAATTCTTCCAGAATATTCCCTTGGTTGTCCAAGAAGTGAAGCGATCTTGGCCTGGCGGCTTTTTCCGATATGTAAAACGAATAATGAAGGTTCCTTTTGTGGAAAGTAAATCTTCCAGTAGCCACCACGTTGTTCTTGTTCAAGTCCTTCGAATCCGAATCGTTTCTGAGGTCCAAGGAGGATCTGCCGGTCAGCAGCGCGCCGAAATCTACACGAGAAACGCGTCGATTTTAGACAAAATTTCGGCAAAAGATTGCAAACAATAGAGGTCATGTGTGGTCAACCAGATGGTCATTTTTCTCAATGCACTGAACTGGTTTAAAACGTATTTTTTCGGTAAAGAAGTGAAAGTTACTTACGATTTATTCTTCTTTCCTCCTCTTCGATGACATTTTGTGGGACGATATCTTGTATAACGTCGGGTTCATCTATAAAAAAGAAGTTCTAAAATTAATTTTACGACCATTTGTAGGTGTATCTATTAAGGTGGGCGACCATATGATGTTAATTAACAGTTCAATATTACCGATCGGATATGGTAACGATTGTAACGGGCACATTTGTGATGCTAATGGAGCAGTGCGGTAGTGTTTTATATTTTATAGCAGGTATATTATACAAATAAACCATTTATCTTGTGTTTTAAGCACACTATCAATGCAATTTTACTACTTATAAATAAAGTAAGTCAATGCATGAATTAGAAACGAACAATTAGGTATTATATCTTAAGAGAACAGAGATGACCCCATAAGAAAATAGCGGTTGTATGAGTTAAACTGAATGAAAAATCATCGTTCATAAGCCATAAAGGATCACCATAAAATAAACGCGAAATATTACAAGTACGTAAGTGCCATTTTATTGTGTGGGACACCGATTCAAGATTACAGATAGACGTTAGTGGGTTTATCCTCACCATTGAAAACGCGTAGACCGTAGACGAAAAAAAATGTTAACGATGCTCTTAAGTACCCGTTTTATGACCTGTCAGTAGCGATTTTACCTTAAAGTACGCCCATGCCTATCTGTTTCACGATAACGACTATTTGAAACGTAATTTTTCCTATCAATGAAAATTAAAATCCAACCATGAATGGACTGACGACGGAACGGGCGTATCTAGTCGTCGGCCAGACGTTAAATTTTCGATGCTGAATACAACCGATTATTATTGTAAATTGTTCGATTTATCGCATTTTTTTAATTGTAGCTTTATTGATTGAATTTCGAATGTTTTAATATAGATTACTATTAACGTGAAGTGCACTGATAGGTAGATAAATAATATTGAATAATTTTTATAATTGTTAAACGTTCTTGGAAACTTATTTAATAATATTTCTGTAATTTAATTATATAAAGTATAAATAGTTCAGCATAACGCGTGATATATTAAAAAAATTAAAATTGCTTTCATAGAGCATTAAAATCAATGAATAATTTAACATACCGGGAATACCCCTTAAGCATTCATGAAAGTTTTCCCAAGAATTCAGTTTGCTAAGTGTTGCATATATGTTACTGATTATTTTATTTTTCGTAATCAAATAAACCAATAAAAAATATATAGAGGCGATTAACTGATAAATATCATAACCATTTTATTACCCACAATATTCACGACAATTTGACCATTTCCATACATAATTTCCTAAATTATGATATCACAAGAAATCACTAAATTCCACAATTAAATTAAATTACCTCCTTCGCCGCAAAACTGCCCCCAGACGTGCAGAAATATCAATTCACGGTTGATGCACAGCGCGTTTATAAATCAAATTTTATTACACGCGCAAGTACTGAATCCTATCCTGATAAAGAGTACCATCTCACCTTGTGGGCGCCACTCTGGTCGTACCAAGATGGTATTCATCTCGGACAAGTTGTCCACATGCTCATTGATTATGCTTCAATCGATTAAAGTATGTGCATACGTTGCCTCTATGTCATTAATAAACCGTATGCCGGTCGATAACGAACGAAAAATAAAATGGAGAAAATGGGAAGATGTCTGTTTCGAAGATCAAATAATTATTTATAATTTCGAAATGCCTCTGGTGTGTTTCTTGGTGAGTTTGCCTTTGAATTTAGCGAAGTGTTCAAGCGCAAGTGAAGATATTTCGGAGTTTCAGAGCAGTATTGTTAGGTGGCTTTCAGAACAATACATTCGCCGGCACGTGATATATCCGTACGATCAGGAATTCTCCATATTGATACGATTTTGGAAAGTTGACGACCGTTTCGATCGATCGATCGATCGACGTTAAACAGTGACGAAACTTAACTGATTTTCTGTTTACCATTTATAGAAATAATCATTTTTTATTAACCGAAGTGTATATATGGCATACGAGTTGTCAGTACGCCTTAATATGGACGATTCGAGAAATGGGGTCCTTAGATAAGCGGGAACGTTTTAAATGCGTGGAATTGAATTGTCCGTCAAAAGAGATCCGTCCGCCGTTAATCTGATCGTTTTCCAAATTCGAAAAGAAAGTTTCGACTTAGAGAAATCGATTGATTTATACCTAATATCGTTTTTGAAAAATTTATAAATTTAGGGATTTAGTAACAAACGTTGATTTTTAGTCGAGTGATTTAGAATTGAGATAGCTCTATAATTAGCCCATAAAAGCCCGACTGGTACAAATATACCTTTTAATTCGAATTGTATTTATTCAGCGAAAAATGCATTCTTATGTGACATGACGTTTGCATATAATAAAGTGGCGCCAATGTAAATATTTTGCCAGCAGACAACCACGACAATATGTACTAATCTTTGCTCTTGTTCTCTCTGCCCGCCGTCTGCATGTGGGGTCTACGTACACGTCTGACTATTTTTAGACGCCGGATTATTTCATAAATGTGGACTACCATTTCAATTTGCAACAATAAGATGCTCGGTGGATTAATCGGCGAGAAGGAAAGCTCGAATATTCTGTACACCACCGAGTCGACAATCCCCTGCGATACGTCCGCGCTGACTTAATGAAATCGATTTATCGGGAGAAAAATCTTCTCGCCCAATAAACATTCTCTGTCTGTAAAATCCGATTCCGAGAAAAGGCGCATTTGATACTTTTTTTGTAGATGAATTCCGATCTCTGATATAACTTTACGGCCAATATTTTTAACGCCCCTTCGACGGGCCAGATCCGGCGCGACTAATTTAATTTAATTGCGCCGGGCGGTTTTGAAAAATTCCCAACGAAAGGCGCGATTCGCGGCGTGCGAGCGACGGCTCGAAAAATCGGAAAGAGAAAACTTAAATAATAAAATCGTTATCTAACGCGATCAAATAGGTAAATATTTGTTTTTTTCGTTACGGAATAATCGTCGACGAGCCCAGAAAACAACAGCGCGCTAAGCCTTAAACCAAAACATAAAAATGTAATCCTCAAGTGAGACAGCCTAAGCGTTATGTGTTTTTTTGTCTGATATGAGTACAATGACAGCAATTCGCAAGGCCATCTGGATAAAGTAATAGAAGGCGCCTGGGCACGACCTACATATAGAGAAAAGCGCGCAGAATCGGATTAGTACTTGTGGTACAAACGGTATCATCAAAAAATACCATGCTTTTTCTATCACCAATAGAAGTATCAATAAATCCATCTAAAGAAGGGCATATTGGCTTAGTTGGGTAAGTTTCTGTTGAAGAGTAGTTTGGTGGGTGATTCCACAAGCTTCTATTACAAAACAATGTTCATAAAAAGATAGTTAATCGAAAAATTCCATAAATATCAAATAGAATCGAAAGAACTGTAAACCAACGAAGAATCCAAAACTAGTGAGAATCAAGCCCTCGCCCTATGTCCTATAAATGCACAAATCTGTAAAAAAACCTTCATTAAATCGGGCTACTGTCATCGAGTACTCGCCGGGGTTTTCCGAGAGCCGGTCCTGGATGTTTAGTGTTTACTACGATTTTATACAATAATCCCAGGCATGCAGTAGTAAACCAATACGCCTAGTCGTTCGCCATTTTATTTTTAAAACAGACGCGACGCGATAAGTAACCGTTTAAGTGTTGTCATTAATTTGTACAGAGTGCAATTCGAAATAACTCGACGCACGCATTATGTCACTTATTTTTATTTTTAAAACAAAAGATACCGTTCTTGCGGCATGCCGAGCGGCGAAAACGTTTTTTCGACCGGCCGGTACGCCCGCGGAAAAGCCCAATTTTTTCTTCTGTAACCGGCGATATTTTCGTGCATCCCCGGTACGGCTTTGCGGCGTAAATATTCTCGCTCACGTACGAGAAAGCTACCTTACGTAAAAAAAAACAAATGCATAACCGATAAGGCCATTTCCAACGGAGGCCTCGATCCTCGCTGAGCGTTTTATAAAATACGAGTGCCGGTTTAAGGTGTGGGCGCACCGCACTGCCGGACACCCACTCGCGCGAGATGGCGCCACCGGCTTACAGGGAGATTATGCCCATTTACGCCCAAAAACCGCCCGTCCGAAATCCCAAAATTTCCTTCGGAAAATTGCAAAAACTTTATGAGTTTTAGGCGTGGTTTTGCACTGTACAGTTTGGACTCGCCAGTCAGCATAATCCTCTCTAAATAAGTGGAGGGAAAGACTATCTAGTGATAAAATGTGCCTTTAATGTCCTAGTAAAGTAAAAAGTTTGTTCCAATCAATTCCAACATGACTCTCTGCAAAATTAAATGGCGCAATTTGATCTATTTCCAAACTCTTTCCAGAATAAATGATAGAACTATTCAACTATAGACCATCGAGCATCGCCCTGTAAATGGTACCGCCTGACCGACTCTTTTTTATTAAGTGGTACCTACTCCTACTTAGCAGCGATTCCGTTGATTTTTTTAAAAGGTAAACAAATGACAGAGACTCGCCGTCTTCTAAAATGTAAAAAATAATAATAATAAAAGAGACGCGGTGCTACGTTGGTGTCGGAGAAGTGTAGGTTTCGGCCAAGCGGTCTCACCTTTGAGTCGGGAACATCTGTGATGCCGTCGAATGGGAAAATGTTAATGAAATTGTTCGATATTAAGAGCAACGGTGGTAATGAATTCGGCGGTTTTTGTGCGAGTTTTATGAGGAAATCCAAAGAGAGAAACGTTTGAAGTTACACCATAGACGTCAAAATTCTTGTAGGTGATCTGTTCTTGACCAGGAAACGTTATTAAATGCGTATACGAATGATTTATACAAGCCCTGGAAAATTTTGACGTGACACGCCTCTCGAAATATCTTCTATATTAAATTTTTTTCAATAATAAAATTTTATTATCCAAAATCGTAAATTGTCTGCAATGCGGTCTTGATAAATTGTTTAAAATTAGACTTGCTATTTTCGTTAATTCCGCGAAAACCGACTAAAAAAATATTTACTTGGCAAGATACTGATTTTTTTCATCGCCGCGATATCATTTTATTAGCGAAACTTTTCTCGTCCTTTTCCAATCGACCGCTGCGAAAGGAAAACCCGAAAGTCTAATAAAGCTTTCAACATTTCGCACGAAAAAATAAACAGAATTTTTTCCCGATAAAACGAAAATATTCGAAGAAGAGTCATTCACAGCATATACTTGAGGAATTAAAGCCCCTCTTAGGAAAATTCCTTAAAATTTAACACACACGACATAAATAAATTGTGAACTCTTCGAGTATAGTAAATAAAAGAGACTTACTTTTATTGTCGCCTGGACAAGTTTTACAGCATCTCTCTGGCAGTAAAACTGGATCATCGCAAGTCGGTTCAGGACATTCATTTTTAATATTACGACACTGAACCCTGGCCACTATCCTTCTTTTCCTGTGGAACTGAAACATAAAAAATTCATCATGTCATTTCTTCTTTCATTTTACCATTTTTCTTAGCTTTTTAATTGCTACATGACACTTATAGTATACTCGATCATAAAAAGAGAGAAATTTATTGTAAAACAAATGGTAGACATTATCACAACTCAATCCAACCTACAGTTCGGTATTTTGTGTATAAACCACAGGAATCTTTTATAAGCTCAAACCACTTCACACTCTAATTCCCCCGACACCCAGCTTATTCTCTCGTCCTTAGAGCATCGGCTAAATTATTCAGGGGATGCCCAACGATAGCTGAAGGATCCTATTCGAGACTGAAACAAAACACAGCCCGAAATTACCTACTGAATTTTTCATAGCCGTCGCGACGATGAGTTTCCAGAATGGGGTTGGCATAAAGTAATCCCGTTTCACACGTCTAGTACGTCTCCAGAAAACCGAGTTTTACAGTATGTTTCTTTTGTGATATATTCTCGGTAGATCGTCCGTACGCTCGGCCGATTATACACGCCCGACGAGCTCATTTGGGCGATAATTCGGTACTAAATTCGCGAAATAGGTTAGGCATACGCCCATGTCGGAAAAAAAATCGTCGGTAGATCACAGAGAGGAGTTTATGAAAAACCGATTGTCGGTCAATGGCCTTGGTGACCTCCACCTCTGCACCGGTACGCCCCCAACTATGGAGGTTCATTAATGGAGAAGAGAAATCTCACCGTAAACACAATGACATTTAAATCGGCGTTGCCGAACTTACCTGGATTATCGATCTTGTCTATTTTATCTATTGGATCCATGCTTTCATCACCTTTCATTTGGTATAGGTGATGACTTTTTTTGAACATATTTACATTAATTTGTGGCTCTTGTTACTTAGAGCAATTTATTGTTATTGGTTTACTTAAAAGTCCAATCAATACTAAACAAAACAAAGTTTGTTCTTTACATCTGGGAAAACTAATAAATGCTGTCATTTTAGCAAAAATGTCTTTAAATTCGGCAACGCAGTAAGCGCATGGTTAAAATCAAATCCAAAAACCGCTATACATAATGGACCAATTGGATCAGAAGCAAGTTCGGCGACTTATCTCCTTTTTTTATACATATACGTTTAATTCATTCAAGATTTGGATGCGAACGTGGGCTGGAAGGAGAGAACACCATCGTTTGTTGGTGTGTTAACATTGTTTATAGTTCGATTAAATTTTGGTAGTGGATACTGCACCTATAATAACGGTACGGCGTTTAATTGATACATAAATCGATTTGTAATATATGCGCATTTGAATTTCAAATTGGCCATAAATGGGGCGATAAATCGTCGAGATACAAATCGAATTTTTTCCTTTCGGTGCGTTTACTGAAATATTAACTTTTCTTTCTATTGATAAAAATCGAGACTCACCGTCAATCTCTATCTATCCTGTATTATGACAAGTTGATTGACGACTATTCAAATTTAAAGAAAGGCGTATCCACGGCTCGCATAAATGCATTTTAAACGCATGTCGCGAATAACTTCTACGCTATTGTGTTAGGTTCACCTGGACAAACGCCCGTATAAATGCACATATTACATACATCATCTTAATCCATATAGAAAAGCGTTATCAATTAAATTTATAATTAATCCGTACATACAATAGCAAACGATTAATCAATCTACAAATAAAAAAGCCTGTTTCCTGAGATAAAAGTAAATGGATTGAATTTTAAATTAAACATATACAATGCATTTCTTAAAAATTCTCGATGGTAATATAATTTGCAACAGCGAATAGCACGCCATTCGGAGGAGGTAAATGGTACGTTACTTTAAAATAAAAAGGACGATAACGTCTGATGAGTTTCTCCCGAGATCTAAATTTCCGCCCGAGAGGAAAAATAAACGCGCGAATGAAGATGAAAAACTAGGAACCGGAGACTAAACTGGCCGAACGGAGGAGCTCGTTGTTTCTTATCAAAACTTTTCTAGCTGTTGATTAAAACGTAAAGTTCCTGTAGTTTTAAAGTTCGAATGGAGGATTTCTCTGCGAATTTTCGAGGAAATAACGTGAGAAATATCGCAAGAATAACAACCGCGCACGGAACTCTACGGGGCATAACTGACCCGGTTAAAAAATGCATTTTAGATTTTCCTCGACATTTCGAATTGTTATTACAGACAGAAACTTTTCTATGGTCTATCGAATCCAATAAAAATCCCAACGATTTTTTCTCAATAACAAACCTGTCTGTAATTGCAAACATTTTTATATTTGCGTAATAAGTATGTTTACCTAATGTAAAAAATTAGAAAACTACGTATTACGATGTGGAATAAATCGTTTTGTATTTTCTCACTCTTGAAAAGGTCGATTTGTGCGAATATATGTATGCGATTGAATAATTCATCGGATTTTAAAATTCAGCGCTGGACTTGATACTTGACCACGAACTGGTATGTGCACACAACAAACACCAGCAGCGGCCTGGAATTTTTCTTTTTGGGGGAAAAACCAATCAATTCACCCAAGAACAGGTTAATGGAGGAAACTGGAACTAACGCCGGGAAGCTCCGCGCTTTTGCAGCTGAATGAAAATCAATTTTGTTTCAAATCTAACACAATTGTGTATTGATAAAGAAAGTATAAAGCATCTCAATTTATGGTGCTAATAAGCCAAAGTTTAATCATCATATTATCACTGATTGTTTCTCTTATTTGCTTTATTATACAACGATCGAAATTTAAATTCCCATTCTTATTTAAAGCATTTGTGCGTGTACACTGTGTAGATACGTGACCTATGCATTTGGTCGATCCCCCTAGCTCCGGCGTTGTGATTGGCCGATGGAGAAAAAACATTTTAATTAAGACAATTTTTAGCGATGACTAACCAGTAATTACATGTCGAGTATTATTTCAATATGTCAACTGTAACTGTTTATTAATTACAAAAGAGACCTTGAATGCCTTGCAAATATCACAACGAATTGATACTGTCTATTAGGTTCGCCGTTTACCTATAAAAGAACTAAAAAAACACTCGTTTCTAGATGATGAAAATAAATTTGAAAATTGTTCCTAAATCTTTCAGATTTGATTAATTTGAGTAACATGCTAATGTATGACAGAGTGCAGTTTCGAATCGATACCTATATTATTATCAATTATTATCAATAAATTTATTCACCGCTATGGAGAATCGACCGTTATGACATAAAACAATTTATGCATCATTTCATATTGGATTAACCGCATAATTCTGATACTCGGTGCTTTTTCCCATCTTATATCCTCTAAAATGTTGTAAACTACCTCCATGAATAGAAGAGGATATTTCAACTGGCATACCAAGCATGTTAATTTTAATATCCGAGTATTCGAAACTATGTGTTGATTATTGGATAAACGGTAGGTAGGTATAAAATTGATTAGATACACGTTTCTGCGCGATTCTAATTTTATATCCGATCGTGACATTCCGCAAATGCGCCATCAAAACATTAGAAACTGCGTCGCCCTTAACTTTAACGAGCTAATGTTAATTTAAAACCGGCCCAATTAAAGATACCGAAGTACACTGTAATGGCAAATAAACAAATAAATATTAGTTATAAAATTATGCTAGCGAATCTCGCTTTTATTAGTAAATATCGTCGTCGAATTGCGTGTACAATAAAAATCTCATTCGGCCGGCGATAAATCATTTGCCGGCAATATTTTGAATATATTTTGACGCTATATGATTGCGTTGACACGCTATAAATTATTAAAATGTATTATTAAACGACGGTCTGTTAAACTAGAATCAGTTTGAGTAATAACAATGATAATTCATTAAAACTTCAATTGTCAAAAAAACATGTTGTTCTTTTATTAATACTTAACTGAAGAGACCTTTGGCTTTTACAATTAAATTAAATTTCTCTCTCTTTTGAAAATTAGAAGATTGTTAAATAAATGATAGACTTACCGGAACGCATTCGCACTTCATGCAATATAGGACGCCGATTGGAACACCCAAATCCGGTATCCATTGTGAACCGAGTTCGCGAATTTCCTTTCCAAAGATACATTCTGCAACAAAAAAAAGTGAAATTACATCTCTAAAACGATCAATAAACCTTTCGAAAACAACATTTTTAAATACGAATATGATAATTTCGATGTATGCTAAAATTGTCGCAGATCCCCTGTAGGTTCTGCAAGTGGACGATCGACCAGAAGGCCTTAAAATCGTCTTATATAGCCATCTCATTGTGTGTAGTTTATTGTTTAACTTAACCAAATACAGAAGTAGTTTGCCTACTATAAAAAGATCGAGGCATTTCAACAATTCTGCCCGACGACGATATTTCTTCTCAAAATCAAAGCTGTTGGCTACATTTTTCAAACGTTGGAGACGACCTTGCTTCACTTAGGGAAAAAACGGCCGTCAACTAAAGACACAGAATCGCCAGTGCACATGCTTTGAATAAGCAATTAGCTTGGGAAACCGTCGAGGAAAGTTCAATTCCCGTAGTTCGATCTCCATCAGAATTTTAACTTGCAATGCTCTATCCCCGAATTATGCAAATATGCGCAGGTAATTCACGAATTCGGCAACTTGGAAAATACCTACGCTACTTCAATATCAAGTAAAACTCAACCAGAAGATTAACAGAGTAAAATCTATAAGGGTGTTCGTGGTAATTAACCGTTGAGTATTCAAATGTATGGAAAAAAATGGATAAAATTAATTGATTTTCTGAATAAACCCCGTGCATATCTACAGTCACACGAGTCGTACGTATGCTTGGAAATGATTTTCATGTCTTTTTCTCCTTTTTAGACTCACCGGTGGGCTCACACAGGTCTAGATGGGTACAATTCTCTTATATGAGAACTGGTTTCGAATTTTTTTTCATCTGCGTAAATATATAACTAGCGCATATTTTGTGTCCGTCCATCGTCAAAATGGAAAATGCATTGGTTAAATAAGCCAGTTTGCTCTTAGTAATAATTATTAATAATTTAAGACATAACGATGGTTAGTAATTTTTTTTCTTTGCCGCTGTCTGTGAAATATAATATAATCATTAAAAGTAAAATATGAACGTTATTATTAGTGTTATATAATCCTTGCAGATACCTCTATTTATGCACGAATCCGGTAATTTACTTCATTTGCACGTTTAATAACTTTAATGAGCTGCACTTTATTGTCAAACTTGAAATTCTCTTGATTGATTGATCGTTATTCAATCTATAATCGATAGTCCCTTCGAATGCTCCGCAGCGTTCGTGAATTTTCCAATAATTGAACGCCCGACTATTCACCCAAAAACCGAAGCACTCAGATATGTAACTCCTGACAATATAGACAAAACACGTTAAATCATTTTAACACACAAACACAGTTGTATTGTAGGTCATTGTCAAGTCATTTGTCGCCGGAATTATTTTTAGTTTTTTGTTTTTATCAACCATTATGCACGATCGGAAAGCCGTTTCCTAATTTTCGTCGATTCCAAAAATAATTTCATTCAGAAAGAGCATATTAGGAACACTAAACGGTCATATGTAAATCGCACGCGTTAATTCTATAAACACACAAAATTGCACGCGTACTCCTCGAATTTGAAATAAAGTGCTTCATTATCTACAATGATTTAAATAATATGAGCTACTAGAACAGGGATAATTTAGCGGAAAACTATAATAAAATTATTGGAGAATATTATTTGAGAGAATGATAGGTATACTCGACTTATTTTTTAGCATTTAGATAAGAGACGATTCTGTTGTGATACTATTTTTGACGGTTTTAATTTTTATCTAAAGCGTTTATCGACTTTTATCACGAAAATTACAAGATGATCTGAGTGAGTTAAATCATCGTCCGAACGTACGTAAGTATCGCATAGTTACGCAAGCCTAATTTTTTAACGCCAAAGTTCTATTATCATAGTTTATTAGCATTAGATAACAATTCGGGAATTGATGTATGTACTTATTAGAAACCAAATATTCGCAAATTTATCACACTATGACTAGATGGTCTTGTTCCAATGCAATCAGATTGCATAGAAATTGCATCAGAAAACTAATACCGAACCGTAAGATTGAATTTTTTCGAATGAATGGTTAAATTTAACAAGGATTCGGATAAAAGTTCCAGTCGGAATCGCTTCCGCCTTCGATGTTTCATCGATATAGAGACTCCAAAAACATATTGCACAGTTCGTCGAGCAGTTTATGTGCGTCAGCCCGGCCAGAGACAAGAAGTCTAGCGTATAGCAAAAGGCTGGCTAACGAAACTGTTAGGAAAGGTCAATCTGAAATAAAACTAGTACGTAAGTGCATCACACATGTGCAATTGTTACAAGATAATTATACGCAAACCAATTACTTTAAAACACCGCATGATGGCTTATTTATAACTTTACCGATCCCGTGTCATTAGCGTTTAAATAAAAGGTATTTGTTTTTATTTATTTATTTTTTTTTTTTTCGTAAAACGGTAATTAGTGTACGATTATTAATCACAAGAGTAATAAACTACTTTTATCTAATCCTCTGCCATATACTATTCGAGTTTAACATACTTTGCTAAACATTATGTAAACAAATACGTACATAATTGTAAACGATAAAGTTAAGTTCATTAAAACTCGTTAAAATTTTTCACATGCTCTTCGAATTTCAGTATCAAATACAACGATAACGGTGATATCAAACATCAGCCCACGACGTTGAATTATTTAATTTTTCAAATAGATCTGATGCACTCAAAAAATAATAATAGCAATAATCATTTCTGTCTCGCGTACAAGAAGAGCGGCGACAAGCTGTACACACGTCTGACCATTTCCTCATTATTTTGCGGTAACGCCAGAGAGACGTGCGAAATCCCGGCAGACCAATGTTTAGATATAGAAACTTAGAAACATTTTCTGGCTCGGAAAGTGGAAAATCTTGTCATTAGATACACGACCGAGTTTACGCTCGACACACGAAAATTGTTCTAGACAATGCGACAGTTCGCCGGGAATTCCACCAAGCGGGAACAAACAAAATAACTCTCCGAAGAGTTAATTGATTTTAGGACATTTACAATGAGAACTAAAACCTCTTACACTTTACTCATCCAGTCCTACCCTGTTTTCCTATACTTTACGAAAGTAATGCATATAATGATGACTTAACTGTCTACTAGTTTTTTCAAACTTACCTACTAAAGATGTCAAGGTGTAATCTAATATTAATAGAAGAAAGTCCAATTCGTCGTGGTAAAATCGTTCAAGCGCAGTGACCCCTATCAGTATGATAAATCGATAGTAAATCAAATTCACATACTAAAAGCTAACACCGAAGCAATTAATTGTACTTACGAAACCCTTGCAATTCTGCATTAAATGTTTTCTAATCGGAATTCCTGAGCCTAAAAAGTACAATCTACAAGGATTTTATATATCCCAGGAGTTGCATTTTGATCCCATAGCCATTTTCTACATGCCTATACGTCTTCCTCGTGCTTGAAAAATCACAGAAGAGTAAACCTTTCGCGAAAACCCATTATTTTATCAATTACACCGAAATACGCAATGACCTCATGTAGATAAAATACAATTTGGATATTTGTCAATTTGGCAAGTTTCCCTAAATATTTTCTCGCGGTTCAATAGGTAATTAAAAAATTGGCTAGTCTCGGCATGAAAGTGAGAGTGTGCGATACATGCTTTTTAAGAAGACTGTGGACATAAGGAAGCCAGAATTTTGAACTCTAAAGACACTAGGAAACGAACCAACGTTGACAAATCATATTAAAAAAAATTAATCACTCATATTCCTCGGGTAGAATGAGTTTAATGCAGACAAAAAAATTATAATCGTCCCGCACTGACATATAGCTACTTTATTTTTAGACGCTGCGATGGAAATTGGGATTTTTTTTAAATGTTTTTATTGCAGTTTTCGCGGGTTATGGTATAGCGGCAACGACGCCAAAAATGCCAGCGTTTCATCCAGATGGGCCTCCGGACATATTAGTCATGTTATATTGAGCCTGGCGTATTTTCAATGCCAACTATTACAGTCGACACACCTCTTTACATGTGCGAACATCTCGATTAACTGCTTGATGTACTGAACAGTTTAAAAAATTCGATCGGATCAAGTTATTTTTCAGCCACCCTCCGTACATGCATATGAAATTTTAATGCTGATGGTGCCATTGAGCACTGAAGAGGCTCTACTACAGCAACTATAGACATTGTCAAGTGGCTGTATTTAGATTACAATAAGCCCGAAAGGATTTTTATGCAAATTGAAATTTGATTAATCTCTAAGTATTTTTGTAGACAATATTTTTTTGGATTTTTTAAGACATGTTTATCTCAATCTGCAACTCATCTCAATATAAATTATGACGTCAATATTACACAAAACTAGATATTAATAGTGGTAGATAATTTATATTTTATTTATATCCATTAAATTAATATCAATACGTATTAAAATTTAGTCAATGCTATAAACATATCATTTTTTTGGCGAATTAAGCATTTTATATTCGATGACACGGGTTAACAACCTTAAGCTGTTATTATTATAATAACAAAATACATATAATCAAAAAATTATGTATGTTTTGTTGGTAATTCGATGGTATAGTGTGCAATGTAATTATATCTAATTACAATAGTTTATTCCCATTTTATTTTTAAATTTCCGATCGTGTAACTAATGGTATGCAAAGTGTTTGATAATTAATTCGAAATCAGCCATATAATTTTTATATCGCGATATTATGCGAATGTTAGAACGCTATCAATTTTTAATAATTTATAATTGGCGTTCTACTACAAATTTATTGATATGACCCCCGTGAGAACGTTAAAAATAATAATATTTATATAGGTTGAAAGCAAGCAAAACGAAACACGTAAAATATTATAAATAACGATATTATCATTAGTTTTACTTAATAAATAATTAAGTCTGTTTAATCTTAATTTAATTCGGATTTGCGAATTTGTTGGCGCCACATCAGCATACGACTACTCAAGATTTCTGATATAAAGTATAACGACAGC